CACTATATCCGCTCTCCCCGGACCCCGCATTCACTATATCCGCTCTCCCAGGACCCCGCATTCACTATATCCGCTCTCCCCGGACCCCGCATTCACTATATCCGCTCTCCCCGGACCCCGCATTCACTATATCCGCTTTCCCCGGACCCCGCATTCACTATATCCGCTTTCCCCGGACCCGGTGTTCACTATATCTGATCTCCCACAGTACACAGAACACGGAAATGCAATCATTTTAGTAAATATAAACTGCTAAATATCCTTTCTCATCAGCAGTATATAGCAGTCTTGTGACTTCTATCACCGTCCAGCAGAGCACTGGTTAAAGCTTGTAGGAGGAGTTTTTCTCTAGGAGGATGTAGAACTCCTGACTTCTGTCTGGACAGTGCTGATTGGCCCTGTGCTGATCACATGCACGCTCCCAAAGAAAAAAAAACCCTCTCTAGAAATTCACACCAAACTGAGCATGTGTAGAGTGACTCCTCATGATAGCTCTTATCAGGAGATAAGAGGGGGACACTGGAAAAAGGGGAGGATCACAGAAGATAGGATAAAACAGCCTTTTTACACAATGCAGAGGATTAACCCCTTAGGTCCCACAGTGAGTATAACAAGCATGCTTTCCTGCATCTACAGACTGATTGCACTGTTGGGGGTTTAGTAACAAGAAGACAAGGTTATAAACCAAGTGATAATGACCCAACAGGTGAAAGTGGAAAGGTCTTTCTAGAATCATGTGGGATCTGAAGGCATTCTAGGGGATGATGGGAGTAACCCTCAAGAGAACCCTATAAGAAGGAAAGCTGGAGGAAAAGGTTTCAAGAGATCCCGGGCCTTCCGGAGGGTGTCTCATATATACTATGCCAGGATGCTGTGGAGTATAGAAGGCGGAGGAGGGTGGCGGCGGTGGAGGCATCCCCTCCAAGCGTGGCTAAGCAGTTGCACCCAGGGAGATTGTCCTGGGAGAGGAGAGGCACCTGCTCAAAGGGTCGCTAGTCCACTCGGCCTGGGGAGGAGGCCTCCAGAAACATCTTGAGAGTATAAAAGGGAGAGGAAGAGAAGAGAAGGAAAGAGGAATTATCCATAGCTGGTGGGGGAGAGAAAGGAGAGGAGGATCCCCCTAGGTGGGCTGGGGAGGGAAGAGAGGGATTTCCTCAGGGGTAGCTAGGTTTTCGGTAAACTCAGCTAAGCGAGTGAGTTTGTGCGCCCGTATTTCTGATTAAGGGAGTAGCAGTGACCGGTCAAAGCCAGATGGTAAATATTTATGTACCCCAGGGGCGCCAACATTTTTCATATTTGGCCATTCCGTCCAGCAGCAAGACCTCTGTCTTAGCGTGGATCATGGATGGCGTTATTCTATGCTTAGCTGCATGGGCACAGAGGGTGGGAGATTTCCATGCTTTCACGATCGGTGATTTGGAGGAGAATCTTGAATTGATGGTGGGTCATAGTCACAGCTTTGTTATTCAGAATGGCCATGGTGGGCTCTGGGGGTATTGAAGAGCCGTGAAAGGATTCCAAATATTTCTAACCAGAAGACTTGAACTGTAGGACATAAAAAGACTTGTTTTGAGCTTTAAGCCCATCTTGGGGTACAAACCCTAACCCCTTCTTTACCACACAGGCAGTGACATGGACATTCAAAGAAGGACCCCCACCAAGAAGAAGAAGAGAAAAGACTGCTAATATAATCTTTGGCCAGATTCTTTTGAGGCTTACTGAAATCAATTGTCTTTTTAAAACAAAAAGAAACTGAGTTTTGAGTACTAACTCCCCGTTCCACAGTTATCTAGCTCCAAAAACAAACTTTTTTTGGTGGGAAAATGCTGTTTGTTGTTCTACAGTAAAAAAAGAAAAATACAAAACATAGACATAGACATACATTGGCCCAAGGACCAAGCCTATCTATACAGAAAACATCCTAACTATAATCCCTACAAACCTCCCTCCCCCTCCCCCTGCACAACCATCTGCCATTATCAGAGAGGAACATGGTCAGTCCAGTGTGGAGCAAAAAGAAACATAATCATAAGACTAGGGCCTTAAAGGCCACATGGTACTGTCACATGCCTGGTATAAGAGGCCAATGGAGAGAGGGCTTCCCTTGTGGCTAAGTTCCAGACTCCCCTGAGAGTGGGACAGCAGGAGTCAGGCCCAAAATGGCACAGGTCACCTGTAGAGGTGCTTGTTGGTGGTCCACCCAGGAGCACAGCTGATGCACTGAGATGAGGTCTGCAGACAGGTGGCTCCTGTGCGAGGTATGCAAGCCCTTCCGGGGAACAGAGGATTACTGGATAGACGGTTAAAAGCCGAGGTCAGGTACCAGGTGGGGAGCAGAGCAGAAGTAGTGAGATGGGATAGCCGAGGTCATACACAGAGGAGCGAGAGAGCATATCCGTTAGCCAAGCCGAGGTCATACACAGAGGAGCGAGAGAGAACATCCGTTAGCCAAGCCGAGGTCATACACACGAGAATATCATTACACAGAGGAGAGGAGCGAGAGAGAAGATCTGTTAGCCAAGCCGAGGTCATACACAGAGGAGCGAGAGAGAAGATCCATTAGCCAAGCCGAGGTCATACACAGAGGAGCGAGAGAGAAGATCCATTAGCCAAGCCGAGGTCATACACAGAGGAGCAAGAGAGAAGATCCGTTAGCCAAGCCGAGGTCATACACAGAGGAGCGAGAGAGAAGATCCGTTAGCCAAGCCGAGGTCATACACAGAGGAGCGAGAGAGAATATCCATGGTTAGCCAAGCCGAGGTCATACACAGAGGAGCGCGAGAGAGAGAATATCCGTTAGCCAAGCCGAGGTCATACACAGAGGAGCGAGAGAGAATATCCATTAGCCAAGCCGAGGTCATACACAGAGGAGCGAGAGAGAATATCTGTTAGCCAAGCCGAGGTCATACACAGAGGAGCGAGAGAGAAGATCTGTTAGCCAAGCCGAGGTCATACACAGAGGAGCGAGAGAGAAGATCTGTTAGCCAAGCCGAGGTCATACACAGAGGAGCGAGAGAGAAGATCCATTAGCCAAGCCGAGGTCATACACAGAGGAGCGAGAGAGAATATCCGTTAGCCAAGCCGAGGTCATACACAGAGGAGCGAGAGAGAATATCCGTTAGCCAAGCCGAGGTCATACAGCAGAGGAGCGAGAGAGAATATCCGTTAGCCAAGCCGAGGTCATACACAGAGGAGCGAGAGAGAATATCCGTTAGCCAAGCCGAGGTCATACACAGAGGAGCGAGAGAGAATATCCGTTAGCCAAGCCGAGGTCATACACAGAGGAGCGAGAGAGAATATCCGTTGGCCAAGCCGAGGTCATACACAGAGGAGCGAGAGAGAAGATCTGTTAGCCAAGCCGAGGTCATACACAGAGGAGCGAGAGAGAAGATCCTGTTAGCCAAGCCGAGGTCATACACAGAGGAGCGAGAGAGAATATCCGTTAGCCAAGCCGAGGTCATACACAGAGGAGGAGCGAGAGAGAATATCTGTTAGCCAAGCCGAGGTCATACACAGAGGAGCGAGAGAGAATCCTGTTAGCCAAGCCGAGGTCATACACAGAGGAGCGAGAGAGAAGATCCATTAGCCAAGCCGAGGTCATACACAGAGGAGCAAGAGAGAATATCCATTAGCCAAGCCGAGGTCATACACAGAGGAGCGAGAGAGAATATCCGTTAGCCAAGCCGAGGTCATACACAGAGAAGCGAGAGAGAATATCCATTAGCCAAGCTGAGGTCATGCACAGAAGAGCGAGAGAGAAGATCTGTTAGCCAAGCCAAGGTCAGGTCAGGATTTAAGTAGAGTAGACAGGTCCAGGAGCAAGCCGAGTCGGTAACAGGAAATCACAGATCACAATAGCACAGGAACAGGAACCAGGTACTGGGGAGTCAGAGATCAACCAGCACCTGAGAGTAGGGCAGGGTTTCCTTATAAATGCCGTTTGGCGCCAAATTTGAGCCGGTGAGAAATTCTGCGGCCATGCAAGGTACTGGCAGGGGTGCCAGGTCTCCTAACACCTCTGCCGAGGATGGAGCCATGACAGGTACCCTTCATCAGCAACTTATACTGCAGAAGTAAAACCCCAAATAATCCTTCCATATACAGACAAACAAGCAATCCAGCAACATCCAGACCCAAATCAGTACTTATGTGTCAGCGGGAAAGTCTCATCCGGCAGGAGATGAGTCCAACATTGCCAAACGTTTTTCGAATTTCTTGGGGCATCCCCTCTGCAAATACATAACATGATAGAATGGCAAAGATTTATTAATTACCGTGTTTTACACTCCATAAGACGCACTTTTTTCAACCAAAAAAAGGGGGTAAAATGTCAGTGCGTCTTATGGAGCGAATATGGAGCGGCCGGTCCAGTATTTCCACCGCTGTGGCCGGCTGCTCAGCTGTTCTCTGCAGCGGGACCTTACCTGTTCCTCAGTCCAGCGCTGCGCTGTCTTTCCACGTCGGTATCTTTAGTGTGGGCTCTCGGCTGTGACAGCCGGGTACCCAGTGCGCATGACTCCCAGAAGATGCCGGACCAATCGCAAAGCTAAAAGCTTCTCCGCGCATGCACACTGGGCACCCGGCTGTCAGCCAGGTGCTCACACTAAAGGGAGGACATCTCCGTGGAAGTGGGAGCGGGTACCTGTCAAATTCAGGTATCCCCTGTACCCCCTCGCTCCCCAAAGGTCCGCAGTCTCTGGTCATCCCCTGTACTGTCCGCAGTCTCTGGTCATCCCCTGTACTGTGTCCGCAGTCTCTGGTCATCTCCTGTACTATGTCCGCAGTCTGTGTCCGCAGTCTCTGGTCATCTCCTGTACTGTGTCCGCAGTCTCTGGTCATCTCCTGTACTGTCTGCAGTCTCTGGTCATCTCCTGTACTGTGTCCGCAGTCTCTGGTCATCTCCTGTACTATGTCCGCAGTCTCTGGTCATCTCCTGTACTATGTCCTGTCTCTGGTCATCTCCTGTCCTGTCTCTGGTCATCTCCTGTACTGTGTCGCGTCTCTGGTCATCTCCTGTACTATGTCCGCAGTCTCTGGTCATCTCCTGTACTGTGTCCGCAGTCTCTGGTCATCTCCTGTACTGTGTCCGCAGTCTCTGGTCATCTCCTGTACTGTGTCCGCAGTCTCTGGTCATCTCCTGTACTATGTCCGCAGTCTCTGGTCATCTCCTGTACTGTGTCCGCAGTCTCTGGTCATCTCCTGTACTGTGTCCCCGCAGTCTCTGGTCTTGGTCATCTCCTGTACTGTGTATGTCGCAGTCTCTGGTCATCTCCTGTACTGTGTCCGCAGTCTCTGGTCATCTCCTGTACTGTGTCCGCAGTCTCTGGTCATCTCCTGTACTGTGTCCGCAGTCTCTGGTCATCCCCTGTACTGTCCGCAGTCTCTGGTCATCTCCTGTACGTGTCCGCAGTCTCTGGTCATCCCCTGTACTGTGTCCGCAGTCTCTGGTCATCTCCTGTACTGTATGTCCGCAGTCTCTGGTCATCTCCTGTACTATGTCCGCAGTCTCTCTGGTCATCTCCTGTACTGTGTCCGCAGTCTCTGGTCATCCCCTGTACTGTGTCTGCAGTCTCTGGTCATCCCCTGTACTGTGTCTGCAGTCTCTGGTCATCTCCTGTACTGTGTCCGCAGTCTCTGGTCATCTCCTGTACTATGTCCTGCAGTCTCTGGTCATCTCCTGTACTGTGTCCGCAGTCCCTGTCTGTGTCATCTCCTGTACTGTGTCCGCAGTCTCTGGTCATCTCCTGTACTGTGTCCGCAGTCTCTGGTCATCTCCTGTACTGTGTCCGCAGTCTCTGGTCATCTCCTGTACTGTGTCCGCAGTCTCTGGTCATCCTGTACTGTGTGCACTGTCATCTCCTGTACTATGTCCGCAGTCTCTGGTCATCTCCTGTACTGTGTCCGCAGTCTCTGGTCATCTCCTGTACTATGTCCGCAGTCTCTGGTCATCTCCTGTACTATGTCCGCAGTCTCTGGTCATCCCTGTACTGTGTCCGCAGTCTCTGGTCATCTCCTGTACTGTTGTCTGCAGTCTCTGGTCATCCCCTGTACTATGTCCGCAGTCTCTGGTCATCTCCTGTACTGTGTCCGCAGTCTCTGGTCATCTCCTGTACTGTGTCCTGCAGTCTCTGGTCATCTCCTGTGCTATGTCCGCAGTCTCTGGTCATCCCCTGTTGTGTCTGCAGTCCATTGGTTCAGAATATTTCTTTTCTTGTGTTCCTCCTCTATAATCTAGGTGCGACTTATGGAGTGAAAAATATGATAAATTCTAAAAACAAATGCTTAACATAACATTTCGGACACCAGAAGATCGGACTATTATATCTGCAGGATTGCTCCTGAATAGTTCATATCATCTTATATTATCTTAGGTCCCGAAAGGTCGGTGCTGCGAGGAATGTCTTCCGGGGTTCAGGAGATCTGTAAGAGAAGGATATCACCCGTGTTGTTATAATTGCGCTCCGTGCCCACAAGGAGAAATATCAAATCAGTCTGGTAAGCTTCATGTTTCTTTACATAAAAAGTCTGAAACTGAAGTAGAAAATGAAAACTTGTGAAGTCATTTGTCAGGGAAGTGTCTGCACTTTTCTTCTTCCATCCACACCCCCAGAGTGTTGGAGGTTGTCTCAAGCAGACAGGAAGAGACGTATTCCTCCTACTTTCTTCTTGAGATCTTCTGCAACATTTTTGTTCTTCTCAAACAGATACTGTCTATAAAACACTTTCAATGGTGTACTGAACAGACCAAAAGGAATCAAATAAGAGAAATTCATTTGTAGCCCAAAACAAAGAGAATAGTATGGGTCGAATGTCCCTCAAACTGTGTCAGTCGGATCAGCATGTGGAAATTCTGGTGCAAGACAGGCTGTCAGGATCCAGTAGACTTCAACAAAATGGTGGCCATTCTAGGATTAAACCTCAAAAGGGGCAAAACGTGTCTGAGGAGTTCCCAACAGGTGGAGAACAGGAGCTGAGGCCATCTTTTACCTATAACATTACATTTATGCAACAGGGAGTTGGGGTCTGTGTGCAGATGGCCACCATTTTGTTGAAGAGAATTTAATTGTTACATACCATATATTGCCAAAAGTATTGGGACACCCCTCCAAATCATTGGATTCAGGTATTCCAATCCCCTCCATATCATGAGATTCAGGTATTCCAATCCCCTCCATATCATGTGATTCGGGTGTTCCAATCCCCTCCAATCATGTGATTCAGGTGTTCCAATCCCCTCCATATCATGTGATTCAGGTGTTCCAATCCCCTCCATGGACACAGGTGTATACAATCATGCCCCTAGGCATGCAGACGGCTTCTACAAACATTGGTGAAAGAATGGGTCGCTCTCAGGAGCTCAGTGACTCCAAGCGTGGTCCCGTGATAGGTGGCCACCTGGGCAATAAGTCCATCCGTGACATTTCCTGGCTACTAAATATTCCACGCTCAACTGTTAGTGGGATTATAACAAAGTGGAAGCAACTGGGAACAACAGCAACTCAGCCACCAAGTGGTAGGCCACGTCACATGACAGGGCGGGGTCAGAGCATGCTGAAGCGCACAGTGCGCAGAAGTCACCAACTGTCTGCAGAGTCAATAGCTAAAGACCTCCAAACTTGGTGTGGCCTTCAGATGAGCCCAACAACAGTGCGTAGAGAGCTTCATGGAATGGGTTTCCATGGCCGAGCAGCTGCATCCAAGCCTTCCATCACCAAGAGCAATGCAAAGCATCAGATGTAGTGGTGTAAAGCATGCCGCCACTGGACTCTAGAGTAGTGGAGACGTGTTCTCTGGAGTGACCAATCATGCTTCTCTGTCTGGCAATCCGATGGCTGTGTCTGGGTTTGGCTGTTGCCAGGAGAACGGTACTTGCCTGACTGCATTGTGCCAAGTGTAAAGTTTGGTGGAGGGGGGATTATGATGTGGGGTTGTTCTTCAGGGATTGGGCTTAGCCCCCTAGTTCCAGTGAAGGGAAATCTTTAGGCATCAGTATACTAAGACATTTTGGACAAGTTCATGCTCCAACTTTGTGGGAAGAGTTTGGGGATGGCCCCTCCTGTTCCAATATGACTGCGCACCAGTGCACAAAGCAAGGTCCATAAAGACATGGAGGAGCCAGTTTGGGGTGGAGGAACTTGACTGGCCTGCACAGAGTCCTGACCTCAACCCCATAGAACACCTTTGGGATGAATTAGAGCGGAGACTGCGAGCCAGGCCTCCTCCCCCGACATCAGTGCCTGACCTGACAAATGTGCTTCTGGAAGAATGGTCCAACCTTCCCATAGACACCCTCCTAAACCTTGTGGACGGCCTTCCCAGAAGAGTTGAAGCTGTTATAGGTGCAAAGGGCGGGGCCAACTCAATATTGAACCCTACGGACTAAGACTGGGGGGCCATTAAAGGTCATGTGTGTGTAAAGGGTGGGACCAACTCAATATTGAACCCTACGGACTAAGACTGGGAGGCCATTAAAGTTCATGTGTGTGTAAAGGCCGGCGGCCCAATACTTTTGGCAATCTAGTGTACAGTACATGCAGTTACAGATAGAGGATGGGGTCATGGCATTACCTGAGGGCATCATACGCTTTGTTCATGACTAAAGCTTTCTGGAGATATTCACAGGATATTCACTTTACTTTTCCCTTAGCTTTATGAACGAGGTGAAGCTCTGCTGACTTCCATCATCCAATCATCTGCACACACAAAAATGTTTTTATATTTACTTTGCATGTGATTGGATATTCTTAAGTGTTTTTTTTTAACCGTATTCACTAAGCTAAGGAAAAATTCCATCCCAAAGTGAACAGCCCATTTGCCTTTAGGAAATCAACTCCCAGTAAGTTTTTCTTGACTTTTAATTCATGTTCAGTATTACATCTGAACTACAATAACAATGCTAATGTAGTTCTAAAGGATGAAGGCAAAAAACCTTCAGGATACAGCTGAATGCGGGGTCCGGGGAGAGCGGATATAGTGAATGCAGGGTCCGAGGAAAACTATATAGTGAATGCGGGGTCCGGGGAGATCAGATATAGTGAATGCGGGGTCCGGGGAGAGCGGATATAGTGAATGCGGGGTCCGGGGGGAGAGCGGATATAGTGAATGCGGGGTCCGAGGAAAACTATATAGTGAATGCGGGGTCCGGGGAGAGCGGATATAGTGAATGCGGGGTCCGGGGGGAGAGCGGATATAGTGAATGCGGGGTCCGGGGAGATCAGATATAGTGAATGCGGGGTCCGGGGAGAGCGGATATAGTGAATGCGGGGTGGGGAGAGCGGATACAGTGAATGCGGGGTCCGGGGAGAGCGGATATAGTGAATAGTGAAGCGGATATATGGCGGGGTCCGGGGAGGGAGAGCGGATATAGTGAATGCGGGGTCCGGGGAGAGCGGATATAGTGAATGCGGGGTCCGGGGAGAGCAGATATAGTGAATGCGGGGTCCGGGGAGAGCGGATATAGTGAATGCGGGGTCCGGGGAGACCGGATATAGTGAATGAATGGGGTTTGGGGAGAGCAGATACAGTGAATGCGGGGTCCGGGGAGAGCGGATATAGTGAATGCGGGGTCGGGGGGAGAGCGGATATAGTGAATACGGGGTCCTGCGGGGGAGAGCGGATATAGTGAATGTGGGGGCCTGGGGAGAGCAGATATAGTGAATGTGGGGTTTGGGGAGAGCAGATACAGTGAATGCGGGGTCCGGGGAGAGCAGATATAGTGAATGTGGGGTTTGGGGAGAGCAGATATAGTGAATGTGGGGTTTGGGGAGAGCGGATATAGTGAATGTGGGGTCCGGGGGGGGAGAGTGGATACAGTGAATGCAGGTCCGGGGTTTAGTTTATTTATTTATTTCAGGTACTTACTGTATATAGGGCTGTCAATTTACGCAGCACTTTTACATATATATTGTACATTCACATCACTCCCTAACCCTCAAGGGGTGTACAATCTAAGGTCCCTAATTTACATTCATACATATTACAGCCAATTTGGACAGGAAACAATTAACCTACCAGCATGTCTTTGGGGTGTGGAAGGAAACCAGAGTACCCGGAGGAAACCCACGCAGGTATAGGGAGAACATGCAAACTCCAGGCAGGTGGTGCCGTGGTTGGGATTTGAACCAATGACCCGAGTACTGCCAGGCGGAAGTACTAACCATTTAGCCATTGTGCTGCCTGGTTACACTTCAACAACTGGTAACACGTTAGGTAGCTGCATTCTCGGTACATCACATTTACTGGTATTTTCTCTCTTACTCTACAGACAGTGAAAACTGCATGAAATGTCCTGAATATCAATGGCCTAACAAAGCTAAAAATGTTTGTATTGACAAGTTCAATGAGTATTTATCATACGAGGAGGATATTCTAGTTTTATTGTTTTCTACAACTTCAGTCCTGTTTGCTACAACATCTCTCTTTACATTTGGACTGTTTTTTATGGTTTCGGAGCTCTCCCATTGTCAGAGCCAATAACCGGAACCTCAGCTTCATTCTGCTCTTCTCCCTCATGCTGAGCTTCCTTTCTGTGTTCCTGTTCCTTGGCCGTCCTGTGGACATCACTTGTATGCTGCAACAAGTCTCCTTTGGAATCCCCTTCACCATCTCAGTATCTTCTATTCTAGCAAAAACCATCATGGTCTTCGTTGCGTTTAAAGCCTCCAGACCAGGAAGCTCTTGTAGTAAATGGGTGGGAGTCAATCTTCCCAATCAGTCATGGTATTCTGCTCATCCATTCAGGTTACAAATTGCATTTTTTGGTTGTCCATCTCCTCACCATTTTCAGGAGTATGACATGGACTCCTATCCTGAGAAGATCGTCATACAGTGTAATGAGGGGTCAGTTATCGGCTTCTACTCTATGTTGGGTTATATGGGGTTTCTGGCAGCTGTGAGTTTTGTTCTGGCCTTCATGGTGAGGACATTACCGGACAGTTTTAATGAGGCCAAATACATCACCTTCAGCATGCTGGTGTTCTGCAGTGTCTGGATTGCCATGATCCCGGCCTATCTGAGCACCAGAGGGAAATACATGGTGGCTGTGGAGGTATTCGCCATACTGACCTCCAGTGCTGGAATATTATTGTGTATGTTTGGTCCAAAACTGTACATTTTGCTTTTAAAACCAGAACTGAACACAAGGAGCGCAATGTTGGGTAAAAGAATGCTGTAAATATTACCGCACACTGAGCCATGTATAATGTTGTAGACCAGAATGAACACATTC